GAGGAACAGTTTATACTCTTGTACTCTTTGGAGTATTGAGGAACAGTTTATACTCTTGTACTCTTTGGAGTATTGAGGAACAGTTTATACTCTTGTACTCTTTGGAGTATTGAGGAACAGTTTATACTCTTGTACTCTTTGGAGTATTGAGGAACAGTTTATACTCTTGTACTCTTTGGAGTATTGAGGAACAGTTTATACTCTTGTACTCTTTGGAGTATTGAGGAACAGTTTATACTCTTGTACTCTTTGGAGTATTGAGGAACAGTTTATACTCTTGTACTCTTTGGAGTATTGAGGAACAGTTTATACTCTTGTACTCTTTGGAGTATTGAGGAACAGTTTATACTCTTGTACTCTTTGGAGTATTGAGGAACAGTTTATACTCTTGTACTCTTTGGAGTATTGAGGAACAGTTTATACTCTTGTACTCTTTGGAGTATTGAGGAACAGTTTATACTCTTGTACTCTTTGGAGTATTGAGGAACAGTTTATACTCTTGTACTCTTTGGAGTATTGAGGAACAGTTTATACTCTTGTACTCTTTGGAGTATTGAGGAACAGTTTATACTCTTGTACTCTTTGGAGTATTGAGGAACAGTTTATACTCTTGTACTCTTTGGAGTATTGAGGAACAGTTTATACTCTTGTACTCTTTGGAGTATTGAGGAACAGTTTATACTCTTGTACTCTTTGGAGTATTGAGGAACAGTTTATACTCTTGTACTCTTTGGAGTATTGAGGAACAGTTTATACTCTTGTACTCTTTGGAGTATTGAGGAACAGTTTATACTCTTGTACTCTTTGGAGTATTGAGGAACAGTTTATACTCTTGTACTCTTTGGAGTATTGAGGAACAGTTTATACTCTTGTACTCTTTGGAGTATTGAGGAACAGTTTATACTCTTGTACTCTTTGGAGTATTGAGGAACAGTTTATACTCTTGTACTCTTTGGAGTATTGAGGAACAGTTTATACTCTTGTACTCTTTGGAGTATTGAGGAACAGTTTATACTCTTGTACTCTTTGGAGTATTGAGGAACAGTTTATACTCTTGTACTCTTTGGAGTATTGAGGAACAGTTTATACTCTTGTACTCTTTGGAGTATTGAGGAACAGTTTATACTCTTGTACTCTTTGGAGTATTGAGGAACAGTTTATACTCTTGTACTCTTTGGAGTATTGAGGAACAGTTTATACTCTTGTACTCTTTGGAGTATTGAGGAACAGTTTATACTCTTGTACTCTTTGGAGTATTGAGGAACAGTTTATACTCTTGTACTCTTTGGAGTATTGAGGAACAGTTTATACTCTTGTACTCTTTGGAGTATTGAGGAACAGTTTATACTCTTGTACTCTTTGGAGTATTGAGGAACAGTTTATACTCTTGTACTCTTTGGAGTATTGAGGAACAGTTTATACTCTTGTACTCTTTGGAGTATTGAGGAACAGTTTATACTCTTGTACTCTTTGGAGTATTGAGGAACAGTTTATACTCTTGTACTCTTTGGAGTATTGAGGAACAGTTTATACTCTTGTACTCTTTGGAGTATTGAGGAACAGTTTATACTCTTGTACTCTTTGGAGTATTGAGGAACAGTTTATACTCTTGTACTCTTTGGAGTATTGAGGAACAGTTTATACTCTTGTACTCTTTGGAGTATTGAGGAACAGTTTATACTCTTGTACTCTTTGGAGTATTGAGGAACAGTTTATACTCTTGTACTCTTTGGAGTATTGAGGAACAGTTTATACTCTTGTACTCTTTGGAGTATTGAGGAACAGTTTATACTCTTGTACTCTTTGGAGTATTGAGGAACAGTTTATACTCTTGTACTCTTTGGAGTATTGAGGAACAGTTTATACTCTTGTACTCTTTGGAGTATTGAGGAACAGTTTATACTCTTGTACTCTTTGGAGTATTGAGGAACAGTTTATACTCTTGTACTCTTTGGAGTATTGAGGAACAGTTTATACTCTTGTACTCTTTGGAGTATTGAGGAACAGTTTATACTCTTGTACTCTTTGGAGTATTGAGGAACAGTTTATACTCTTGTACTCTTTGGAGTATTGAGGAACAGTTTATACTCTTGTACTCTTTGGAGTATTGAGGAACAGTTTATACTCTTGTACTCTTTGGAGTATTGAGGAACAGTTTATACTCTTGTACTCTTTGGAGTATTGAGGAACAGTTTATACTCTTGTACTCTTTGGAGTATTGAGGAACAGTTTATACTCTTGTACTCTTTGGAGTATTGAGGAACAGTTTATACTCTTGTACTCTTTGGAGTATTGAGGAACAGTTTATACTCTTGTACTCTTTGGAGTATTGAGGAACAGTTTATACTCTTGTACTCTTTGGAGTATTGAGGAACAGTTTATACTCTTGTACTCTTTGGAGTATTGAGGAACAGTTTATACTCTTGTACTCTTTGGAGTATTGAGGAACAGTTTATACTCTTGTACTCTTTGGAGTATTGAGGAACAGTTTATACTCTTGTACTCTTTGGAGTATTGAGGAACAGTTTATACTCTTGTACTCTTTGGAGTATTGAGGAACAGTTTATACTCTTGTACTCTTTGGAGTATTGAGGAACAGTTTATACTCTTGTACTCTTTGGAGTATTGAGGAACAGTTTATACTCTTGTACTCTTTGGAGTATTGAGGAACAGTTTATACTCTTGTACTCTTTGGAGTATTGAGGAACAGTTTATACTCTTGTACTCTTTGGAGTATTGAGGAACAGTTTATACTCTTGTACTCTTTGGAGTATTGAGGAACAGTTTATACTCTTGTACTCTTTGGAGTATTGAGGAACAGTTTATACTCTTGTACTCTTTGGAGTATTGAGGAACAGTTTATACTCTTGTACTCTTTGGAGTATTGAGGAACAGTTTATACTCTTGTACTCTTTGGAGTATTGAGGAACAGTTTATACTCTTGTACTCTTTGGAGTATTGAGGAACAGTTTATACTCTTGTACTCTTTGGAGTATTGAGGAACAGTTTATACTCTTGTACTCTTTGGAGTATTGAGGAACAGTTTATACTCTTGTACTCTTTGGAGTATTGAGGAACAGTTTATACTCTTGTACTCTTTGGAGTATTGAGGAACAGTTTATACTCTTGTACTCTTTGGAGTATTGAGGAACAGTTTATACTCTTGTACTCTTTGGAGTATTGAGGAACAGTTTATACTCTTGTACTCTTTGGAGTATTGAGGAACAGTTTATACTCTTGTACTCTTTGGAGTATTGAGGAACAGTTTATACTCTTGTACTCTTTGGAGTATTGAGGAACAGTTTATACTCTTGTACTCTTTGGAGTATTGAGGAACAGTTTATACTCTTGTACTCTTTGGAGTATTGAGGAACAGTTTATACTCTTGTACTCTTTGGAGTATTGAGGAACAGTTTATACTCTTGTACTCTTTGGAGTATTGAGGAACAGTTTATACTCTTGTACTCTTTGGAGTATTGAGGAACAGTTTATACTCTTGTACTCTTTGGAGTATTGAGGAACAGTTTATACTCTTGTACTCTTTGGAGTATTGAGGAACAGTTTATACTCTTGTACTCTTTGGAGTATTGAGGAACAGTTTATACTCTTGTACTCTTTGGAGTATTGAGGAACAGTTTATACTCTTGTACTCTTTGGAGTGCTCGTGAAGCCCTAGCGAAACAAAGTGGGGAAAATAAACCGACGGAAACGTTTTATCCAACGTGGCCTGACGTGGAGGCGGTGAAAAGGGTTTCCACAGAGATAAAAAGCGAACCAAACAGGCCCTAAATCTATCAATTGACAGCTGGCTACTCCTCAATATTCAAATATCACTGACGTACTACCACACACAAAATATCACTGATCAAAGGACGAACTTTGCAGATACGGTTGGTTTGTGGTCTACTGGTCCGCATACGCAAGGCCCCATTTTCCCGATTTTCACGGCGTTTAGCCAAAATTTGCATTAGTTCTGGAGGTTCTCTAGGCAAACCTACAATGTCTAGGGGGGCGCTTGTGAAATTTACCATTCGCACATCACCTTCCTCTCTTCCCCCCTCTCCTTGACTCTTCGCTTCTCCGTTCCGTCCGGGCATAACTTACATAAATATCGGGTCCTCGTCACCACCCACAACCCGCGCCACCGACCCATCCATAGCCGCTCACGTGTCCGCCTCCCGTCTCATTAAGACCTCGTCGTCAAACATCCTGCCACAGCGGCCTCTCTCTCTCTCTCTCGGTGTCTCGGCCGCCAACGACGGCCGCGTAGCCATGGCCGCCGCCGGCCTCCTCTGCTGCTCATCTCTCCTCGTCCTCGCCTCTTCCGCCCCTTTCCCCACCCGCACCCGTACCGGCCCTTCCGCCCCCAAAGCCCGCCGCTCCTCCCCACCGCAAAACCGCCCGCGCCAGCGATTCCGCTCCGTCCGAACGACCAGAAAACCGCCGTCCCCCCGTCCGACGGACCGATCCAGAGGCTCCCGCGCGGTACAAGTGACGGCTTCTGCTCCGACTTCGAGTCGCGGTCTCCGCATCCGCCCAAGGGGCTAGCGAGTCCACGACTCCGGGCCTCTCAGAGGCTCAAATCGAACCCGATGCGATGCTCCGCTCTCAGCTCAGCCGCCTGACAAGCGCTCCAAAACCTAAGCGAGCCGCTGGTGGTCCGACAACAGGTACCGCCCCATCGACCTCGACTGCATGTTCACCTACTACTCCGAGGCCCAGCAACACCAGCGCCAAGCTCGGCTGCCTCGACGACGCCGACCCCAAGCTCACGACACTTTCAGAAGCTCGGCATCCCCTCATGGAGCAGGAGCGGCTGCGCACAACGTCGCACCGACGACGGTGATCGGACGTCGATCTCATGCATCGCCACCACGGCACAGGGAGACCCTGATGGAGGCCGGGGGTCATCTTCTGGCTCGATCTGCCGAGGCCATCCGGAGTACCCCCTGAGATCGTGAGGAGGTACCGTGGGGAGCGTCGTGCCGAGCACGGGGGGACAACTACTACGCGGCGCCTGATACTCGCGTTTTCAGGCGACGGGTCCTTCTGCTACGTGCCCAGGGACACGGTCTCGCCCATGGAGATCTCGACCTACTTCAGGATTAACGACAAGGAGACGGGGCAGTTCGAGAGGACCCTGATCGTCGCTGAGGAGAACAGCTTCGTTAGTTACCTGGAGGGGTGCACCGCCCCGCAGTACGACAGGAATCAGCTGCACGCCGCGGTGGTCGAGCTGTGGTGCGCTGAGGGGGCGGAGATCAAGTACTCGACCGTGCAGAACTGGTATCATGGGGATGAGGAGGGGAAGGGGGGGATATTTAATTTTGTCACGAAAAGAGGGAGGTGTTACGGGGCGAGGTCGAAGATATCGTGGACCCAAGTGGAGACGGGGTCAGCGATTACTTGGAAATACCCGAGTGTTGAGTTGAGAGGGGATGATTCGGTGTGGCGGTGACGAAGGATTATCAGCAGGCTGATACCGGGACTAAGATGATCCATGTGGGGAAGAACACGAGGAGTAAGATTGTTTCCAAGGGGATTTCGGCGGGGAAGTCGAGGAACTGTTATAGGGGGCTTGTGCAGGTTGGGGCTCAGGCTGAGAATGCGAGGAATTTCTCGCAGTGTGATTCGATGCTTATTGGGGATACGGCGGGGGCGGGCTAACACGTATCCTTATATACAGGTTTGGTTTTTTTGCTTTGTTAGTTTTTGAATTGATTGATGCTAGAACTAGAAGGATGTTAGATTAAAGTATTTGTAGTGTAGCTGTTATTTTACGCATGCGATGAAATTTTATTTTTTGTTAATGGGTTATTTATAAGGTTCTATGCTCTATCTCGGTGAATGAGTTTAACTTGTATACAAGTTGAGTACCTTTTGAACAGAATGAGGGGAGAGTATATGGCCTTAACGTTTACCTCTTGTGCCTTCTGATCGTGGTAGTAGGAGGTAAGGTTGAGTATTGAATTATGATACAATTGGACCGTTCTGTAATCAATTAGGGACTATATTTAGATGCCAAAGATCCTATTTTTTATTGAGTTCCTATTTTTTATTGAGTTCTTGCCTCAAGCATCTTCAGGTAGAAAGTTTCCTTCCAAATAGATTAGTTGATGGAATGACCTGTTCTTGCTTGCTGACACCCCAAGAACCACTCTTATGCTTCCGATTGTCAGTAAATATAATGTTAGACGTCAAATGACAATCTTGATTTGATCTGTTAATACACTGGTAGCAGAAGTTGCAGAATTTAGGATGTTGTTTGCAATTTCGGCACCCCTGAAGAGCTGTGTTCAAGTTACACTATTTCATTAGCTCTCGTTGCCTATGTTTTATTATTTTCCTTCTCTCAAAATATAAAAAAAAGAAGAAATGGTTTTTCTCTTGCTTTACCAGATTTTTTGTTTTATCAGCATGTTGCATAGACGATAGTTCGTGGTACTTTTCCTCTGGTAATACTCTAATGGATCACATCTCATAGGGAGTTGTTCTGGCCTCTGCTGTAGAGTAGTCTTTTCAATTTTTTCTGCATATGATATTCCTTTTCCTCCCTCTTCTATTCTTCTTTCTGCCTAGATTTTTTTTCCTGGAAAATGCAATGATAACATATGTTATAAGTTTTCACTTCATACTTGTCTCGGTAAATTCATTGATGGATATGCTTATAAGTTACAAGTTTTCCCTGCATCATGTTCCATCTGGTGATAAATGGAGTTATGATTGTTGGTTGTGATATGGAGATTCGTATCCCCACCATTACCAACAAAAACCACCTGCTCAATGGAGATACTATTGGCAATTGAGAAGAGGAAGGGGATCTATTTCCTCTTAGCTTTCATGTTTGTAGGTTCTGTTTTCCTTAGGTTAAGCCCTTACCTGTTTGTGAACATTGGTCTCTTGGTTGGCACTATTGTGATTAGTGTCCCACATCCAAGCAAGGTTTGAAATGTGTCGTAATAGGTTCGCATGTCCGAAGAAGACAGACTTGTTGTTAAAAAAAAATTCAAGTCAATGACAAAAAAAAAAGCCAATAGGATTCCCTTTTTGGGTCATGTGCGTTCTAAGCCTATATAGACTACTCTGGCATTTTTGTGTGCCTAACCATGTAATACTTTGGTATCGGGGCAAAAGTGATGTATGTGAAGGCTCGAATTAACTCAGATTATTGGCTTCAAACTTCCTGGCTTGGGGTTGTATATTAGTTTAGATAGGCTTCAAGTTTGTCAAGTAATCACATGGGGGTTTTGAAATGAAGAGTTAAAGATGAGTAGAATAATTTAGAACAAGTACGCTAAAGAAAATTTTCCCTTTTGGTTATGGGTTCTGTGCCTATTAGTCACTCCCTCACATTGTTGGGCCTAATGACAGCAGGCATATGAATAATCATTGCTCAAATTGCTGTTTCGGATAATTACCTCCTTTAAATTAGAAGCCGTGAACCTTTTTACTGCCTCAACCCCTATCTCTTGAGAGCTGTTTCATGAGCTATGATCCTTTTACTATTGTGAACTAGCAGTCTAGCACATACTCGCACTCGATTGGTCCTCCAGTCTACCAAATAAATTTCCCTCAGTTCATTCAGCTGAAGTTATCTCTAACTTCTTGGAAATACTCTCATTTTTTGTCCTATATTTATTGCACTGCTGATGTTTCGTTTTAACTAACCTTATTTCAGACATGGTTTCTTTTTCTTACCTTGATTATTGAACATCTGAACTCATAAAACATAGCTAGTTGGTATACTGTTCCTCTTCAACTTCATATAGAAGCCAGAAAAGACTTCTCATTTTGAAAGTCGTCCCTTGATTTTATGATATCATTATTTTCAAATTGCACAACTGCAATAGAGGATTGATCTTAGGAGATGGAAAGATCAGTCTTAGGTATCTGTTATTCATCAATGTCCATCACACCATAATTTCTTGTTATTTTGTTGGAGTTTGAGCTTTAGAATTTCAAATGATGTGCTTATTTTAAATCCAGATTTCTCGCTCTTGTTTCTTTATCATGCAAACCCCAAATCCATTTGCTTAAATTAGTGATAGTGGCAATTGGCTAACAGCACCTTCCCCATTTTATTGGTATTTTCACTTTTGGAGAATTTTGGGCTTTTTTTGGTCCAACAGATTCCACATCCCATTTCCCAAAATAGGGATGGATGAGGGAAAAAGGGAGCCTTCCTCAAATCTGCAGCATTCTGCAAATTTTTGCAGAGAGCTTTGTCATAAATGCAGCACATTCTTCAAAACGGGATGGAGGAGAAAATAAATACAAAACAAAATCCGCAATTACAAAAAAAGTCATGGGGACAGTTCCAATGCATAAGAGCATCCCAAAATAGGGATGTAGAATATTTTTATTATTGTAATAAATGCAGGATTCTTCAAAATGGGGAAGTTGTTGGAGTTGGAGCAAAAATAATTTGGAGAATATGACTTTTACTTTCCCATTTTGAAGAAATTTTTGGAGAACCTGAGCATCTCCAACAGCTTCCCCATTTCCCACTTTTGGAGAATTTAGTTAGGTTTTTGGTCCAACAGATTCCCCATCTCATTCCCCAAAATAGGGATGGAGGAGAAAAAATAGGGAAGCTTCCCCAAATCTGCAGCATTCTCCAAATTTTTGGAGGAAAAAAGGGATTCTTCAAAATGGGGAAGCTGTTGGAGTTGGTGTAAAAATAATTTGAAAAATATGACTTTTGCTTCCCCATTTTGGAGAAACTTTTGGAGAAGCTGTTGGAGATTAGGTGTAAAACTTTTCTCATTTCTATTTTAGAAACTAGCCCTTCCGTATTCTGATGATTCTCGTTGACTGAGCTGCTACAATTGGCAAACGACATACATCATGTGACAATGGAACCTCTTTCCTAGTATGAAACTATGACTAACAGCTAGGTTTATCCACGGCCAATTCTTTCTGCTTTGGAGGTTGACCCTTTGCATTTAAGAAACAGGTCTTGGAGACTTTCTTTAATTTTGAGAGAAAACAGGTAAATCATGTAATTCATTCTGCAGGTTGTTCCTTTGTTCATACTCTCTGGTTGGCTTCTCACTAAATTAAATGCAAAAAACTTGCCTGCTTGCCAACTTTCTTATCTAGTCCCTATCTGTTATTCTTAGAATAACTTAAGTTGTATGAACCTATTCTCGATGTTCTCTCTCTTTGATTGCTACTTTCATTGCTCTTAAGACGATGTCCCCAACGAACCTTGAAGCGGTGGGTATTAATTTGTTTTGTTGATACAAGTCTATGCTTATCATTCTTGTGTCAGCCTTAAAACCCTCTTTCTCCTGCAAGTAGCTCATCTACTGCAGGCTAATTAAAGAAATTAGTTTTTCACATTTTGAGCCTAAGCATTAAATCTGCACCCGTTCAAAATTTTAAAAAAAATGTTAGCATTTTTGTTCAAAATTGTGATCATTATGCTCAATGTGCAGGTTAAGAACCCCTCAGCTCGTGTAGAGCACGAGGCAACTACCTCAAAAATCGGTGAGGACCAGCTCTTCTATTTCCAACAGAGAGGAATCGACCACGAGAAAGCTGTTACTGCTATGATTGGTGGGTTCTGTAGGGATGTCTTCGATAAGCTTCCCCTAGAGTTTGCGTCAGAGGTTAATGCTTTGATGAACATTCAGCTTGAGGGGTCTGTGGGTTAAATAAATGAAGATCCGTGCCTTATTTATGTTTATAGGTTATGTTTTAATGTTCCCTAGTGTAATTTGAATAGTCTGATGAAGTTTTTGAGTATTGCGACGTTGCGTGTCCGTTGAGTATTGTGATGTTGTATGTACAGGTGAAAATTCTGTTAAAATTTCATAAGGATGTAAGAAATTGATAAAGTGAATGATATAACTACTCCAGTGCGTAGCTGATGATCATCTCTCCAAAATTTTGGGATAATGCCTTTTTGCTACTGTTGTGCAGTTGATCACCTGGGTATTTTGTTTTCATATGAAGGAGGAACAATTTGTTGACAATTGTTTTGTATTTTGGATATATTCTGCTTTTGTCGCAAGGGGATATCTTTCTTTGGTTAATAGTAGTGATATATGGATTATGCTCAATTTGATCCGCTGTTGCTGCTGCTAACATTCCACTGCTAAACTTTTTGATGCTCGATATGGAACATGGACTCTATTAAAACCAGCTTTATAAGAGGAGCGGTGTTAGAGGCACACCATGAGGCACACCTCCGGTCACACTCCCCCACTGCTACAGTGCAGGAGGCCTCACAGGAGATTTTTAAAAAAATCTCCTGTTGGACCCCTGCACTATAGCAGGTGGGGGAGTGTGACAGGAGGTGTGCCTCATGGTGTGCCTCTAACATTTCTTTTATAAGAGCGTGATGGTTTTTGCCGTACATAGGATTATTATTATTTTCAACTTAATCTTTTTAACTGTTCGTGAAGGGTAAAAATTATCTCATTCTATAATGATGCATTTATTGTCTTATCTATAACGGTGGATCTAGAGAATGATAACCTTTGGAGGGGTATGATACAGACGCTGAGTGTTTGGAAATTAGTGTCTTAATACAAGATGCTATTTTCTTGGATATTTTTATCGGTGATTATAACTAAAAATTAATAATAAGGAAATTTAAAGTCAAAAGTTCATTATAGAAGAAAAATCACAACTAAATAGTCAAGCTATGGTATTTTCCAAAGTAAAAATAAACTAGGGCCAAGGGAAAGGACACACGAGACAGTAGGATTGACAAATAATACCTACACATTAGTTAATGCTTATTTCGATTATGTTTTTGGGGGGGTCTTATAACTATTATTGAACTTTATGTGATCTTCACTATATGATCATGTTCATGCATACAGTTCGTCCACATGAGGGTAAAATTTTAAAACACACATCTTTGCAAAAATATTCCCAAAAAAATACCTGTTTTGAAAATATTTACAAAAAAAACTACTTAGTTTTAGTCTTAGGACTGAAACTGGGTCGTTTTCTACGAAAAATATTCCCAAACTTCACGGGAGTTAAACTAAACTCCCGTGAAGTTTTTTTCAAAACAAAACTTTACGGGAGTTCAACTCCCGTGAAGTTTGGGAACATTTTTCGCAAAAAACGACTCAGTTTCAGCCCTGAAACTAAATCGTTTTTTAAAAATAAAGTGAAAATAGGCCCTTTTTTGGGAATTTGCTCCACATGACGATCAAAAGCGCCAGTCGGATACATCTGACAGAGGAGGGAGAAAAGGGGAAAAAGAAAAAGAAAAAAAGAAAAGAAAAGAAAAAGGTCCCGAGAACTTTGGCGCGAATGGCTTCCCGTAAATAGAAAATAATTTAGACACCGACAAAAACGCCCCTATATTCGCACACCGGTCCCCTCGGCAGGCCCCACAAGTAACTTCCTCTCCCCTAGTACCGATACCGGGGCCCGCTCAGCCCGCCACGTCACCACTCCTCCTCCCTCCTCCCCATATCAAAAAAAAAACCAAGAAAACTCTCTCGATCTTGCGCGCGCTCTCTCTCCCTCTCATGGCGTTCCTCCGTTCTCTTCTCTCCTCTCTCGCCTCTCCCGCTCCTCCCTCTCCCTCTCTCCCAAACTTCCCCTCCACCTCCTTCTCCACCCAAACTCCCACCCGACCCCACCTCAGCGGCCTGGCCCGACCGTCCGACCAGGGAGAAGCCCGCGTTGTCCGTCCTCGGCACAGGATGGGGCGGCTGCCGGCTAATGAAGGAGATCGACGCGCCGACGTGTACGACCATCGTCTGCCATACGCCGAGGAACCACATGGTGTTCACGCCGCTGCTGGCGTCGACTTGCGTCGGGACGCTGGAGTTCCGGTCCGTGGCCGAGCCAATCGGTCGGATCCAGCCGGCGATATCGACGGTGCCCGGGTCGTTCTTTTTTCTGGCCAAGTGTACCAACGTTGATCATGAGGCTCATACGGTGAGTTTTACCTTTAACAAAGTCAATATGCTCTTTTTTTTTTTTTTTTTTGCTTCACTCTGAAAGCAACTTGTCACGGTACACTATCTAATTAACTATCGAATTTAATTCTAGAATGTTATTATAGCTATTATTTAAACCAGTGAACGGATCAGATTACATAAGTTGAGAGACCTGACACATGCGCTGACGTTCGTAAGTTTCCATGCACCATTTGACTTACTTGTATCCGCGTTCTTTGATGTACCTATAATAAAACATTTTCGTCATGTGTGAGATGGCTATTTCAAGCCTTATCGAATGGAGGTAGGAAGGTAATTTAGACATCTGCGTTATCCTTATAAAGTTATTGTTGATGTTAATAATTAAACAAATAATATAATAGAGGTGAGGTTGATTAGGAGGCCGTTAACTTTTTCGAATATCTGATTTTGAGTTGAGTAGCTTCAGCCTGTACAAATAGCAATTCGTGAGAGGATGGAGATTAGTTCTCCCGTTGTTCCTCCGATGATCAAGTCAGTTGATGGACTTGAGTGAGAAAATGATGAACTGTGTGAGTTCTTAAATGTAGTGCGGTAAAATTCTCAGATATTGCTTGCTTAGAAAATTGCTTCCTCTTTGGTATTTAGAATAGTTTCTCTATTTATAGTGGTGGAAAAAGGGTAGAATGATAATCTCAGCCGAGTATAGGATGACGACAAACGAGTATGGTCTGTCGGCGACGTCAGCACCTACTTTACAGGTGTCGATCGACGAGTGGAGGAGATGTCACCTTAGTATTTAATACGAAGTGATTAGGAATATGACGGTGCCGACGTGGTCCGATATGTCGTGAAGACTATCGAGGCTAGAGATATGATGATGGCTGTAAAGCATTTAATATAGCGTAGACGCGCTGTCAGCGGAAGAGGCTCGAGGTTGAAGTCGTCCTTTAGCTTGGTCGAGAAGTAACACCTTTCTAGTCGCCCCCGCAGGGTGTTGAATAACTAGTCGAGTGGGCTCGTAGCGAGTCGTCTTCAATAAGAGAACCGACAAGTACCACCCTTCAAATCGACCTAAGGAGATGCCGACTGGGCGGGTCGGCTAAGTCGGGATTTTTGATGGTCCTGATCGTCAATTTGATTTGAGCGGTGTATGTAGCGAGACACCTGTCCGTTGCTGGTAAATGACCGTACTTTGACGACCAAAAACATCTTAACAGTTATAAAGCTCAGAGCACTCCGCTCGCATAAAACTCCGCTCGCATAAAAGACAACCTTAATCAAGGTTATTAATACTCAAAACACGTGCTTAAGCCTTTTTAGTCCTCGGTCAGCGGTGATCGTTCCCGAGTCAAAAAAAAGATCAGCCGCCGCCCCTCCGAGGTCCTTGGCGCCCAAACCCGTTTCGGGAAGCAATAGAAAGAAGAAGATTATTAG